GCACTGAACTGCATGATGACTAGGGTCCCATGACTTTCAGGGTCAGAACTCTGTGATTTCTAGTTCTAAGCCACATTACTCCATTGGACATGCCCTGAAAAGACATTTCAATCAAAAAAGTAACAAAGTTCACCTGATTGCCCATTGAATACTTTTAATCTTCTCTTTAGTGAACAGCGAATCCTGAAATCTCCTACTATTAATCAAGTAGTACCTTGTTGGTAAAGGCCACATAAGCAGGAGCTAATTCTTTGCTAAATAACTTCTTACTGTGCGGTAAGCCAGATCTTCATCTACTACTTTGCTTGTAGATCAACACAAACTGCTCTCACTGGTAAATTCCTTGACACCATTAAAAACACATGGGATTTTCAAGATGACCCACAAAGCACACATGAGCAGGTGCACATCCTGACTCATACTGGAGCTTAAATGAGTTTACAGTCTTGTGTAAAAAGTCTAACGATGAATTCTGTCAATAAGAACACAGTTGTATGGAATACCACTACATGGCCTTGATTAAGGGAAGGATATTTGCCTTGTAAGGGATACATGATGGAAGAAAATGGAAGTAAAGCTGTATAAAAATACAAACACCTTTACAGTAGCAAAAGCTTGAGCAGAAATCCAAAAAGCAGTAACATAAGGTCTTTAGAATCCTCAGGTTTTGTAATGTTAAGTGAGAAATTAAAAAAGTTAAACTACATTATGTGTACATAGTAACCACTTGGCAACTACATGATGACAAAGTCAAAATAAAAGCTAGGAAGTCAGTTTAGGAAACAAAGAATGCTGATGTTCACATTGCTGGCAAAGTACGTTTCTCAATAACATTGTATAATAGTTAGCCAAAAGGAGGTTATGACCTAACATGCCAATCTAATGTAAATGTCTAGAGACATAGTAAATATGTACCTTTACAGTTAAATCTGTGTTGAAATATTAAGAACAGATATATTATATAAATATTCTTAAGAGTTCATAAAAACAAAGCCTACAGAAAATACACATATATATTCCATGTGAGGATCTTTTTATCTACAATTCCACAATGATCTTCCAGTATTGTGAGGGCATATATTAATAAAATAATTACATCAGGACTGTAAACCCACATCTTTCCAAGTGAAGTAAGTGCCATCATATCTCTGGGAGGCTGAGGTGCCCAGCAGATGAAATATGTGACTTCCTTTAAAAGCAAATTTTAAACTTCTGTCAATAAAAACACTGCAGGAAAGAAACTCAATCCCAATGCAACTCAAATCTCATGCTCCAACACAACTCACATTTCATGTTATCAAGAATCCTTCCTTACCAGGAACTACTTGACTAAGATTAGCACACTGACTATGTTTATGCTGAAATTTATTTCCTAAGACAGTACCTGCAGAAAACAGCTCAAAAGAAAAAATCTCTGCAAAAATTATAACCATGAGCCTCCCAAAGTTCAGTTACTAAGATCCACTTGCAAGTTTCTATTCCAGATTTTTGTTCTGATAAAGTAACAATCCAGAACAATCAATTAACTGCTCTGTATTCTAATCATTAAAGTACAGGCCATGAAATCCTAGGTACTCATTTACCCAGCAAGCCCTCAACTTTTTGATAAAAGGTTAATTCACACACTCAGATTTAACATGACCAGCTATCAGTTAAGTCTGTACTAGTGCTTCCTTGCAGACAGCAAGCCAGCAGCTATTGCTTTGGTCTCAAAATGAGAAAGAGAAGACTCATTATCAAGGTAACACATCCCTTCAAAGTAGACTAATGGACTAAGAAGCTGAACAGAAAAGATGCAGGGACAGATCACATCATCCCCATTTATAATCTTATTCCACCAGTATTTAAAGTCTCAAAACCTGTCACAGGTGGAGACAGTAAATGAGAACCTTCACACAGTCCTGATAAAGGAAAATGTGAGTCTGGAACACTTGTTATAGGAAGGGAATTTAGAGAAGACAGGTGAAGAAAAGAGGAAAAGCAATAAAATAAGACACATAACTGGAACAATATCCAGCTCAAAATATACCAACAACATACTTCACTATGAATCCAGACATCAGAAAAATAAAGGAAGGCTATTCAGAATCTATACACTTCAATGTTACTTTCATATTCTTCATAACTACAATAAAGTGATATTTTATAAATGACAGAGGGTTATAACACTGAAGTGTCTTACACTAGATTATTTCATCTGTTACCACAGACATTGATTGTAGCCAAAAGAAAAAAGAAAAATAAATCAGCTAATTCCTCTCAAGATTTGTTTGGCAATAAACATTCTTGTCATTCATTATCGGCTTTTAACCATATTCTGTTAATTCTCAGTTGGTTTTAGACATCCTCTTGAAAGCTGCTTTACAATCTGGCATGTACCACTACATAAAGTAGTTGTAAAATATTGACATTAACATTGTATTTTGCATCTTGTTATGCCTGACAGAAAACAAAAGACCAGATGTTTTTGCTTTCATATAAAAATAGATTAGCTATACAATTTAAAAGATGTCCATGACTTAGTTAACTAGTGAGCTTGAGCATATTTCATTTATAAGAAGAAAATGCATTAACTGAAATTAAAACAGACATCAATCTTGTAGGTAAATGAAACAACACTTTTGTAACACATATGGTTATTTAATGGACTTTTCGGGGCTGATGTTGCTGAAATTTCATCTGTTAAAACATGCTACCTATGTTTATCAACCAGTTTTAAAAAATAAATATTACTGCAGTATTTTATACAATTTGAGATTATTATATTGAAACTATAAAAGAAAGCTATTCTACTGATTTATGTCAGAAATAAAGTTGAGATTTTCACTGCTAACTCAAAACACACTACCTGAGGGATTCCATAACAGTTCATAAAATGTCTTTGTTTTTAAAAGGTATGGTCTGTGGTATATATTTTCTATGAAGAAATAGAAGAACACATGTAGCATCAGATGTGTGTACTTTAAGAAACTCTGGAATGTGAAATCTAAAAATCCAAATAAAGCAGGTGGTATAATTTGGAGGGAGGACTGAATTTGAGTTTAATGACATTACCAGGTTATCCTACCAGACTAATTCTCACTCACTGCATGACTTCAATGAAGCTCTCAGTCCTCATGCTGATTTCGATTTAGTTCAAGTGCTATTTGATGTGTTTCATCTGGAGTTTTATTCACTTCAAACTACACTTCATTTAACCAGGCTGCTGCTGTACTCATTTGTTTTTCTACTTTATTACCCGTAAATTGGTGTTGCTTAGTTTAGATAAATTGTTGGAATAAGCTAATTTTATACAATTATTTCCCACTGTTAATAAACAAATAAGCTTTAGAAAGATATTCTATCACACGGAAAAATGTGAGCAAACTATTAAAATTATTTTAAAATACACTAGACCCCAATAAGTGTTGGTCTTTGAAGATCTGCTAATAAGTGCTGATAGATCATTTGCTATTTTAAGTCAGGACCATTCCCCTGCCTCAGCACCCCAAAACTACTGCTCGTTTCTATTTCCCTATGTTATTAGTCTACCATGCTCTATTTTCCAGCTGGGCACACATCGTAATGCAATGTGTTTTTAAGAGAGAGAAAGTGAGCAAGACAGAAAGCATGAGAGAAACAGAGAATGGACGGGAGAGGGAGAGAACACTAGCCCAAGACCATGCACACATGAGATAGAACATGCAACAGTGCATGTGGAAAAGCATGAGAAACCAAGCACGAGTGAGCAAGAGATCGAGCACAGCAAGCACGAACACACACAAAAGAGATCACAAGGGCACTCATGAGAAAGCACCAGCACTTGAATACCATAAACTTGTCAGATGACAGATTTTTTCCAACTATTTTTCTTCTCTAAAATAATTTTTTGTTTTGCATATCTAACGATGGGGTTTATAACGTACTAAAGAAATTTAAGATTACCACCAAACACTAATTTATTTCTCCAGTTTACTAACAAGGATCACTGACCAGAGCTTAGTGTTAAATGTCAGGTCATGTCAGGAAAGGCTGTCAATCCTACCAGAGTACTAAAGCACTCCGAGCAGTGCTGATTATGGGTCATCCTGGTAATATTTATTATTTTTTTGCAAACTGCCATAACAGAACAGCAATTCATTTGAAGTGGTCAGTACTTTTCTAAACTATTGATGGAAAATATGAGAAAGTCAATTAGGCTGCTACCACCTGGTGGTGTGCTGATTGTGCTAAAACCCTCTTATATTTAACATGGTATCACAGCTTGTGAGAGATAAACTAGTATATTCTCTACGCAGCACTAAGAACAAGCCTTTTTGGTTTTTAGACTCCATTAAACTTTCACAAACAGATGTTACAGATTAGCTTACAACACAATGTTTGAAGCCAAAGTATTTAACACATTTATCTGCTTTTCTGTTATCTTATTCTTTTATTTAAGATTCTTTATACGGATTTAGTCAGAATGTAGTCTTTCAGTAGATAGCTACTGCTCAAAATGAGGGATAAAGAAAACTAACATCAAACAGTTTTTATAAATAAAATTTTTAATTAATAAAAACTATTACATACTGACATTAATGTTCACAAGATTTAACCTGTAGAGCTGAATTTAAATACTGAATTTCCATGGCATTAAAGTTAATGGAAAGAAAAATATATACAGCTCATTTCATAATAAAGCACAGAATTGTTTTCAGAACCTGATCACAATGTCAAAACACTTCCAACTGTAATGACTAACAGAAATAAAAGTCTAGAAAAGACTGTCTTTTTGTGGAGTTGTGTTACGGGCTCCTGCATTTGTTGCTTTTTATTTGGTTGAGTTTAAAACAGTGGCCAGGTTTCAACTATCCTTAGAAAGAAATTTGTTATTCATAACAGTCTTAATAGGAAAATATGGCAGAAGAGACGGTAAAGTTAATGGATATATAGAGAGCTTGGCGTTTTTAAATCATTCATTAGAAACCCAAAATAACTGAGTACATTACTTAAATAAACTGTATCCACTTAATGCTCACCAATATTTGGGAAATTTGATCAGCTTGCCATAAACCGCAGTACTGAATGAGGGGATAACTGGAACAGGGATGCAGTACAATCCTTTACTGTCCAAAGAAGTCAGTGCTGCTTGAAAACCAAATATCTGAAACAAATTGGGTTGGTCAAAGGGTATACTATTGCATGATTAGATTACTTTCAATTTACTTTTATAACATAATATACACATTTTTAAATATACTCAATAAATATGAAATAAACTGTGTATTATTTTTAGATAATTTATTTTCCCCTCAAACACAAACATAGCTAGAAAAATCTACCTAAATAAATATCCCAATAGGAATGCATATTAAAAGTATCTTCTTCACT